ATCTACGTCGTGCAATAGTTTAAGGAAGAGATGGAGTTGTTAACCCCACTGCTCGCGCAGTCATCCCACCCACCCTTCCGCACCCCGGTTTGCAAAACCCGTGCGGCGGCGATTGCGAGGGGTGTTCGTTGTTGGCTGGTGCATCTCTGCGGCCGCGCTGGCCCGCGCGTGCTGGCGCGCACAGCGGCCAGCTAGTTTCTCGCGCCCGACGCGGCCGCGCTGGTGCTGACCGCTGGGCATTTCCCAGCGGGCACTTCGGTGCGAGTCGGTAACCTAGGCGGGCGCCGCGGGCGCGGTATCATGGCGGCGTCGACAACAGTAGACACGATGATGACAGTTTCGATGATCGCGACGATGATGACGATGATGACGATGACGACGGCAAGGCTAATGACGGCGCCGCTGCTGATCACGCCGATGGCGATGACGGTGTCCTCTCGTCGTTGATGAAGGGTGCGGGACGGAGTTCGATATGCGTGCGCGGCCGACGCGTGTGAGTGGTCCGCATGATATTCTTTGGCAGGGCTCCTGCCTCCCCAGCACGCGCGGAAGGACTTTCGAATGATTGCGACATGCGGCGCGAGAGGCCCAGCTGGCAGAACTTGATGACAATGTTGAGAAACCGATGGTTTTATCAAGAATTCACACGAGCGCGCGCGTGCAGCCTTTTTTGAACCTGATATTACAAAACCTTACAAACACATGTTTCGGAACGCTCGATTTTGGAACCCTTGCGACACCTCCGGTTTTTAACCAGTTTGAGTATGCGCGCGACGACGCGCGCGCGTGCACTGCGTCCCGTTTTGAATGGGACGCAGGGCGTCGGCGTCGTCGTCGTCGTCGTCGTCGTCGTCGTCGTCGTCGTCGTCGTGGTCGTCGTCGTTGACGTGGTCGTCGTCGCTGTTGGCGCGTCGCCGCCGGCATAGTGGCGTCGTCTTCGCTGACGCCGCCATCCGCGTCGGCGAGCCAGGCAGCAGCGGGGCCCTCCCCGCCTGGCTCACCTGCGAGTCGGCGCCGGACGACCGGTGGCGCCGCCTTCGCCAGGCGCTCGAGGGCCACACCGCCGGCGATCGAGCAGGCGACGCTGCGATCGAGCTGGCGCAGGAGGGGCGGCTGCGGCCTGTGCTGGCCTGGGGCAAATGGGTCCCCCGATCTCCGATGGTTTGGCTGTTCCCTCGGGAGGAGAAGAAGGAGGAGGAGGAGGAGGAGGAGGAGGATGACGAGGAGGAGGAGGAGGAGGAGGAGGAGGAGGAGGAGGAGGAGGAGGAGGAGGGGGAGGGGCAAGAGGGGGAGGGGGACCAGGAGGCGGCGGCCGCGAAGGCGCCGCCGCCGCGCAGGCGCAACGAGAGCTCCCCTTCAGTCCGGGTGCTTTTTCTCGGTCTCGGCCGCTGGGGCCCGCTGTCGAGCCCCAGGGCCGCCGCAGGCAGATGCGGGGTGCATGGCTGCTCCCTGCCAAGGGGTCGGGTGTTGCTGGAAGTGCCCGTGGCCCAACGTGCCCCCGCGGCCTCCACAGCGCCGCTCCCGAGGCCCAGAGGGCTGCGGGGGCCCCACATTGGGCGAAAGGATAGGGGGCACCCTTGGGCCAGGGGCACCTTTAGCAACCCCCGAAAGGGGGCTCGGGAGCTCTGGGCCCCTGCTGCGGGCGTCGCGCCGCCTCGGTCGGCCTCGAGCTACCAGGAGGCCGCGATGGTTCAACGTTGAACGCTTCGCGTGGTGGCAAATTACATAATGCAGATACAGTGGAGTCCCATGCCAAGAAACACCCTGCTTGCCTCCAGGGTGCCCTGGGTTCCTTGGGTTCCGATGGTTTGCTATGGCGAAGCGTGGCGTTCACACCAAGCATCGATGGACGTCCTGGGGTTCCTGGGTTGGCTTCCTTGTGGAAGGTTCCTTGTGGTCGGGCCCCCACTGCATGCCCTGCCTTAGCAGCAGGGCTGCCTGCCGTGGGCTTGCTGCGCGTGGCCGGTGCCGCGAGACGCCGAGCACGGCACGGCGCCGCGCGGGCGGCACGGCAGTGCACGCCGTGGGCACTTTTTTGTGTTATATATATATATATACACAAAGAAAAACATACACAAACAGCAAAAACAAAAAAAACACCTTTGGGGTCCTGGAGCTCACGCCTTGGCACGGGGGTCCGGCACGGCGCGGCACGTGGTCCGCACACTGGCCCACTGGGCACGGCACGGCACGGCACGGCGTGCCGACCCGACGCTGCCCGGCACGTCGGCCGCATGCCTCGGGCGCTCGGCGCAGCCCCCTGGCCAGAGCTCGAGGCTCCGCTCGGGTGTGTGACGTTTTCGTTCCGTGCGGGGCTTCTGCGCGGGCACCTCCTGCGGCACTGGCCGCGGCAGTCGGGCGCGAGTGTAGTATTGCAGCAGATTGCTGGTCGTTTCCCCTTTTCGCCTCCAATCTTCCCTCCTGGCTGCCGTGGTGCGGTTTATATCATAAATGTCCGACTTGCACACAAAGCCTCGGTCCGTATCGCGGCCCGCGGAATGATCCGCTCTTCTCCTTACTGTTGTTTCTTTTCTGCGCACTGCGAGAGGCAACCGCAGAGGCACCATGCTTGCGGCGGAAAACGGACAACAAAACGCATTCGAAACTGAGCACAGCACAGCACGGTACTCTGATGGGGCAATCGTTATGACATGTTCTGAATCGTTATGGGTCCCAAAGGGGCGCCAGTGCCTGATCAAGTAAACTCCCCCAGGACGCTTGCGCCTACACCAGCTCCGACGCCAGCATCTACGCTAGTACAATCGCTGGCGCCAACGACAGTGCTGACGCCAGCACCGACGCCGGCACCAACGCCAGCGCTTACGCCGACACGAAAGCCAGCGCCTAGACCAGCGCCGACGCCAGCACCGACGCCAGCACCAATGTGGCGCCTGCGCCAACGCCAACGCCAGGGTCTACACCAGCGCCCTCGCAAGCACCGACGCCAGTACCAACGCGGCGCCTACGCCGACACCAACGCCTGTGCCCCCACAAGCGCCGACGCCAGCACTCCTGGAACGCCTGCGCCTACACCGGCGCCGACGCCAGCACCAGCGCCAGCACGAACGCTGGCGCCTACGCCAGCGTCTGCCACCACGCCTACGCCGGCACCAACGCCTGCGCCTACACCAGCACCGGCGCCAGCACCGACGCCGCGGGGCAATTCTTCTGACCCCAAAAGTGGAGGTGGGGTCTGATCAAGTAAACTCCCTCGGGGCGCCTGAGCCTACACCAGCTCCGACGCCAGCACCACCACCAGCACGATCGCTGGCGCAGACGCCAGCGCCGACGCCATCACCGACGCCTGCAGCGAAGCTGGCGCTTTCGCTGGCACCAATATCGGCGCCTACACCAGCGCGGACGCCACCACCGAGGCCAGCACCAACGCGGCGCCTGCGCCGGCACCAACGCCTGCGCCTACACCAACACCGACGCCAGCACCGACGCCAGCACGAACGCTGGCGCCTTCGCCAGCGCCGACGCCAGTACCGACGCCAGCAGCGAAGCCAACGTTTACGCCGCAGATTATGGCAAACGGCATGGACGAGGAGGAGGAGGAGGAGGAGGAGGAGGAGGAGGAGAAAGAGGAGGAGGAGGAGGAGGAGGAGGAGGAGGAGGAGGAGGAGGAGGAGGAGGAGGGAGGAGAAGGAGGAGGTCCTGGTCCTTGCGGGAGCGGTCGAGATGGTCCTGGAGGGTTCTGGGTCTGGTTCTTTCAGGGCCCGTTTCCATCGCGGCGACGGGAGTTCCGCTCGACTGCGAAACAGGGATAGAACACGGCGGTGGCGGCGCCGACGGTCCATGCTTCATCCGCCCTTGCCTCCAGCCCCCCCCCCCCACCCCGTTCTGCGCTGTTTCTGTCGTTTTCTTGCTGGCGGCCGGGCGTCGGCGCTAATAACTGTCGCCCCCGCTGCGCGTATCAAGTTGTCGGGCGCCCCCCCCCCGAGATTCCCCCGAACCGTGGTTTTTTGGTGGCAAAATATAACCACATGCCGCGAGCTGACATGACGCCGCCACGAACTCCTGCGCCTGCACCAGCGCCGACGCCAGCGCCGACGCTGGAACGCGACGGCCACCGCGAGCGCGCCGGGCGCTTCGGCTACCACTTGCGCGACGTCGCTGAAGTGTTCGATCGACGGCGACGGCCAGCAGCTCCAAGGCACCGACCGCTGATGTATTCTCGACCATCTGTCAAGGGATGACCGACGGTCTAAACATGTCCGGCGGGCATAAATCTTGCTAACTGAGTTGAGCGCTGCTTCGATATCCAGAGTTATGGGGTCCAGCGTTAGCTACAGCGGTATCTATCAAGTCTATCACGATGGTCTCGATCGCCATGCCGCTCTTCAACACTGTTAGAGACAGCTCTGACATTCCGGATTGAGACTATGTAGAGGCGCCGCGACTCGGATGATAGCCATGCGAGACAGCCGCACGACGCCGAGCACCAGGTCAATTCGGTCATCCAGCTAGCTCTGAATGCGACGGGCTCAGGGGGCCTCCTCCCTCTTCGCTGTGCACGTACTCCTGGTGCTTTGTGATTCCGCTTGCATCGGGGACTGGCTGGCTCGCCCCGAGCCGACCGGCCAGGGGCGCCGCGCTCGTTGGGCGCCGTTCCCTGCTCGTGCGTTCGCGGCTGCTTGCTGCCAGGGTCAGGCTTTCAGGGGTCATGTCAAAGCTGGTGAACTACTGGCATTGCTTTAATTTTCCCTTTTCGGCTACACTGTTTTTGTTGTTTTGTTCTCTCTCTCTCTCTCTCTCCTCGCCTCCTCGCCCCCTCTCCTCACGCTCGTGCGGGACAGTGGTGCGGGTGTCTCCAGCAAAGTCTGGGGGGCCTTTGCGGACACGAGCTGGTTGCTCTTTTCTTGCCTCTGGCCTTGCCGCCTTCTTTCCTCTTCCCCCGCCGGCTAGTCTGCTCTCGCGTGCCGAACCTAGGGCCGTGGCGTTAGGCAGGGCGCAGGAACCTCGGGCGTTCGTTTGGCAGTATTTTTCTCTCATTCCTGCGGGCTCCTGCTCCTGCCCGAGCGTCGCCTTCTTTTCGCCGCGCGGCCAGCCAGGCTACATTCAATTTCCCCCCCCACGTTTCTTCCCCTCTCTCCCCCTCAACTGGTGTTTCACAGTGCATGACATCGCGTGTGGCGTTCCCGGCTTGTCTGGAGGCGTTCCGTCTCGCGGCTCGGTGCTAACCGTTCAGTTTTCGCTGCTGCTTGGAAAAAACCGATGGCGGACTCTTCGCGCTCTGCGTCGTAAGGCAAGCGAGACTCTTGGTACGACTCGCTGTTTGGGGGACGGGACCATTGCTTTTCCCAACGCGTTGAAGAGATTTTCCGTCGAGTTCCAGGCGCCCGGCGCGGCACGGCATCCGGGCACGGCGCGGCATGCGTGCACGGACCGCCACAGCACGGCACGGCACGGCCACGGGCGGCACGCCCTGTGCCCGTCTGGAGCGCGGGCCGGCCTCGGCACGCGGCTGCGGCACAGCCCGCGGGCACGGCGCGCCTCGCGGGCGGCTCGCTTCTCAGGGGAGAAGCACGAGCCGCAAGCGCGCCACGGCACGGCGCGCGGGCGGCAACATTGGTCGCCTCCCCACGCGCGGGCACGCCACGACGCGCGGGCGCGACTCGTGTCGCGTCTCGCAGGCGGCGGTGTTCTCGCAGCCTATAGGGAACGCCGGGGCGGGGCGGCGCGTGGGAGGCAGGGCGCGGCACGCGGGCGGCACGGGCTTCAAAGTCTAGCGCGCGGGTACGGCACGGCACGTGGGCACAGCACGGTTCGGCACGGCGCGGCACGCGGGTGCCGCTCTTTTTTTCCGTCCCAGCATCCGGAACGCCGGCGCGGCACTCGCGGGCACGGCGCGTCATGGCACAGCTTGCGGGCGCATGTGTTTACCATGCGAACCATGCGCCCCGCGGTGGAGTGGGGGAAGGGGCGTGCATCTCATTCAGGGGAACGAAATGTGACATAAGCATAAAAGTTGAAGTCTGCGCGGATTTTTTGGATCCGCGCTGGACCCCCTCCCTGGCGCGCGGAACGCGGTAGGGGCGGCGCCGGAGGCGCCGCCAGGGGGCCCCAGCGCCGACCCGAGAGATCCGCGCGGACCTCCGAACGTTTATGTTTCTGTCAGTGTCTGCTCCCCTATCGTTAGTCGAGGCGGCACGGGCCGAGCCCGCCAGCGCGCGCTCCTGCACGTCGGCGCGCCAGGTCTCCACGCCACCGCCGGCGCGCACGGCTGCCGCCATCCGCAGCACGCCCGCCCGAAAGAGCAGCGCCAGCGCCCACGCCAGGCGCGGCGTCGCCGAGAGCTGCAGCCACCGCGCCGCCGAAGCGCCGCGCACCAGCCCGGACCCTGCGCCGCGGCGTGCACTGGCGCACGCCGGCTCGCCGGCGCCTGTCGGGGGCTCGGCGCGCCCGTCACGGCGACCGTGTGGCGAGCTCGAGCGCACGATCCGTCCGGCACTTCTGCGTACGATCTTTGGCTCACGCAGCCCTGGCGCGGCCAAACGGGGCAGCAATAGTCTCCGTGGCAGACATACATGGCGACGATAACAGTAGCGCCGTCCTGATCTGTTCTGGTGCAGCCGCGTGAAAGCCAGGCCCGATGCTTTACAGTGGAAACCCATGCCAAGAAACACACTGCTTGCCTCCAAGGTGCCCTGGGTTTCTTGGGTTTCGATGGTTTTGCTATGGGGAGCGTGACGTTCCCACACCAAAAATCCATGGACGTCCTGGGGTCTCAGGGTTGGGTTTGTCATGGAAGGTGCCTTGTGGTCGAACTCCTCATCAGCCCCATCTGCTCTCGCGACGCTTGCCTGCCATCACGGGAGGGTCATGCTGCCTTCCGCCCCCCCCCCGCCGTGCGCGCACCGCCGTTCGCGGCTGCGGGTGCCGCAGAGCTCCTTGTTCTCCTCCCCCCAGGAGGCCGCGCCCGTGCCTCCGCGCGGAGCGGAGGCTTCTGCTGCTGGGACTCGCACTGCCGGGCGGTCGCGGGTGTAGTCGTCGTCGTCGTCGTCGTCGTCGTCGTCGTCGTCGTCGTCGTCGTCGTCGTCGTCGTCGTCGTCGTCGTCGTCGTCGTCGTCGTCGTCTCGCCCGCCGCCAGTCGCGCCCGCCGCCGTTGTCGCAGTCGTCTCGGTCCGCTCCGCTGTGGTGTTGCCGTCCTCGTCCTCGTCGTCGTCGTCGGCGTCCTCGCCGCCGCCGCGTACCTTCGCCGGCGCCGTCGTCGGATTCGGCGTCGGCGCCGGAGTCTCCTCGCCGTCCACGGCGTCGTCGCAGTGGTTCGTCGTCGCCGTCGGCGCCTTCGTCGTCGTCGGCGGCGGCGTTGGCAAGCTCCAGGGCCGAACAGTGGCGAAGCGTCCTGGAAAGCATATCGGCCCAGCGAGGAATGTTATGATAACCTACTGTGGTTTGCACTTAATTGAAAACATTTCTGGCTGAGACTGTCTCGTTTTAACGGATCGGTTTTCTGTTCTAAGAGCATGGTTCTCTGAACATTATTCTTGTTATACGAGCATGTCGTGATAGGCTATAGGAATGCCAAGACGGTCCGTCCCTGCTCAAGTGGGCAAGCTCCAGAAGGGGGGGGGGGCGGGTGTCGCGTCAGGAGCTGCTGGCCACCGTCGCCGGCCCCGAGGGCCAGGCGACGCTGGCGCGCTTCCGTGGCGCCTACCACGACTGGGGCCCTCCTTGGGGGGGCGTCGTTGCTGCGGTGTCGCCAGCCGTTGCCGCCGCCGAGCTCGTTTCCGTGGCCGCGCTCGGCGTCGGTGTCGTCGTCGTCGGTGTCGCATGAAGAGGGAAAAGCTTGCGGATGAGGAGGAGGAGGAGGACGAGGAGGAGGAGGAGGAAGCGGAGGAGGAGGAGGAGGAGGAGGAGGAGGAGAGTAGGAGGAAGCGGAGTGAGAGGAGGAGGAGGAGGAGGAGGAGGAGGAGGAGGAGGAAGCGGAGAGGAGGAGGAGGGGAGGAGTAGGAGATCGGGTAAGCGGATGGGAGATGAGGAGGCGGTGGAGAGGTGGACGAGGAGGAGGAGATGAGGAGGAGGAGGGGGAAGGAGAAGGAGGAGAAGGAGGAGGAGAGGAGCAAGTGCGCAGGAGGAGGTGGAGGAGGAGGAGATGGGAGGAGGAGGAGGAGGAGTGAGGAGGAGAAAAGAAAGAGAGGAGGACCAGGAGGAGGAGGAGGAGGACAGCTCTTTGCGCGGCGGAAGCGGAACAAAAAGAGGAGGAGGAGGAGGAGGAGGAGGAGGAGGAAGCGGGGGGACAGGAGGAGGAGGAGGACGAGGGGGCCGAGGGGGAAGATCGGGAGAAGCAGGAGGATCGGAAGCAGCAGGGTCAGCAGAAGGGGCGGGAGCCCGCGAGGTGGGAGAAGTTGGGGCGGGAGCAGGAGCAAGAGTGCGAAGGAGGACGATGCAGCAGCAGGACGATGGGGCCGACTACGAGCTGGCTGCCACGAACAGGAATTGGAGCCGCAGTCTACCCTCAGGAGAGGATGATGATGCTGATGATGATGTTGATGCTGATGCTGCTGATGATGGTGATGGTGATGGTGATGCTGAGATTGCTGATGGTGAGGAGGATGAGGATGAGGATGAGGATGAGGATGAGGATGAGGATGATGATGATGATGATGATGATGATGATGATGATGATGATGATGCTGATGATGATGATGATGCTGATGATGATGATGATTATGATGATGATGATGAGATGATGATGATGATGGTTGATGATGATGATGATGATGCGTGATTGATTGTGTGGTGGTGGTGGTGGTGGTGGTGCTGGTGATGATGTGATGGGATGATGATGATTATGATGTGATGATGAAGATGATGATGATGATGATGATGATGATGATGATGATGATGGTGATGGTGGTGGTGGTGGTGGTGGTGGTGGTGGTGGTGGTGATGATGATGATGATGCTGATGCAGATGATGGTGATGATGATGAGGAGGTGGAGTGGGAGGATTAGGATAATGAGGACGAGGATGCGGAGTCGGAGATGGGGCTGAGGATGCTGCTCGAGCGTGAGTTGGGTGTTTGACCTTGTGTTGAAGAGGAGGAGGAGGAGGAGGAGGAGGCGGAGGAGGAGGAGGAGGAGGAGGAGGAGGGGAGCAGGAGAAGCAGCAGGGCAATCTTGGCAATCGCCAGCCTCTATACACAACCCGACACTGCTGCTTCAAGTCCACATGTGTCACGAGGTTTCTCCTGCTGGTTAGCTCTGCCAGTATGTTTCTGCTTCGCAATCCTCGTCCTGGCCCTGCTCCCAGGACTTGGCCTTGGCATTTGGGACACCACACATCGCACACCGCTTGAGAAAAGGAGGGACCCGATGGCCGCAGTTCAAGCGCTTCCCAGCCACACCATCCGGAAGGGCCCATGCAGCACTGGTGCATACCCAATCCCGATGACGAGAATTCCGAGTCGACCAAAAGTGCCGACATCATCGAGATCGAACCCGAGGTGGTCGGCAGCAGACTTTAGAGCCGTCGGAACCGCGCTGCCCCACGCGCGGACGGCGATGGGCTCCAGAACGTTGTGGAAGTCGATTAATGGAGAGGAAGCGTGCTGCCAAATTAGTTCCAGGAAAACATGTTTTAAACATGTAAAAAGATGTTTGGAACATTGTTAGAGCATGCTTTACACATTTCAAACACATCTTTAATTCAGTGATCGGATTGTTAGAGTGTCCATTGTCATGGCATCCACAACCAGAATGATGAAGAGGAGACCACCGCTATTCGGCAACGAGATCGCGACCATGTTATGTGTGCGGGCAGCAAGACGCTCGGGCGCGCAATGTCTGTGCGATGGCAAGGCGGCAGCGGCCCAAGTGCCGGACTTGAAAGGGGGCGGGCTGCGAGGGGCCGTTGTGAGGCTTCTGGCTCAGTCATGCCTGTGCTGGCCGGAGAATCGGCGGCGGGCGGGAGTGAGAAGGAGGAGGCCCTCTCAGAAGGCGGCGGGACTTCTCAGAGCTGTTGGTTGGTGTCTTCGGGGATGGCCCCGAAGACTTCTCGGAGGGCCGGGGGGCTTCCGAACCTTCTGAGCAGGCCCTCCCCTTTCCACTTCCTCCCCTCGGCTCGCCGCCGAGAGAGAGGGGCCCAAGCGGGCCCCGCGCGCAGGATTCCCGGCGGGCCCCCCTTTGGGGGGACCGAGGCGGGCCGCCCCTTCGCGCCGCGCTGCGGGGGCAGCCGGGAGGGCCGTCGGCGCCGCGCCAAAGGGCGGCTCTTCCCTGACCTTCCAGGAGGGCTAAAAAATAGCACCCGACCTAAAAACCTATCCTAGAGCTATTCTACGTCTTGGTTTTAGGCTGTTTCGCTTAGTATTTTAGGTTTTTAGGCCTCCAGTGCTAAAAAATAGCTCTCTGGAAGGTCAGGGTTTCTGCTGCCGCCCCGCGGGCCGCGGGCCCTGCTCCGCGGGGCGGAGCAGGGGGCCCGGCCCGGCCGGCCGGCCGGCGGCCGGCGGCCGGCGGTGGACACCCGGAGGAGGCCTCCGAGGCGCCGCGGGGCAGCGGGGCTGCAGTGCGTAGCTGGCCTGCTGCGGGTCAGGGGAAGCCGCCAGTCGGCTCCAGCCATATTTTTTTTTTTTTTTTTTTTTTTTTTTTAATTTTGCGTGTGTGTTGTATACCCACTTCTGCTTACGTTCCAGAGTAATGCCCCTGTACACATATGAGGCGCTCAAAAATAAGAGGGCCTCGCCTTCGAGGATCGAAAGAGTTGCCATCTCTTCCTCGGCGGAAGGCGGTGGGAGGCTGGCGGAAGGCGGCGGAAGTAGACGGGTGGCGGCCCCACCGGTTTCCGCCGGCGGAAGGCCAGCGGAAGGCGGCGGAAGGAAAACTCGGCTTCCCAAAGAGATGACATCGACAACATGTCTGGGTGGAGGGTCTCGGGAACACGCCGTATATGTGTTGTCTGCTGGCCCACCAACAACCGAAGAGCGAAGAGAGCGCGTGCGCCGACCCGCGCATGGCGACGGCTGCCGGAGGCGTACGCGGCATGGCCATGCGCAGGCTGCCCAGCGACTGGACGAGGGGCCTGCAGCGCACCACGGCGTCACGGACTCGGCCCGGAGAGGGGCTGCTCCCGGCAGTCTGCGCTGCGCGGCAGCGGAGCGACGCGGGTCGGTTCCTCCCCGCCCCGGGCCTGCAAACGCACCCCCCCCCTCGAGGGGAAAATGGGCCCGCCGTGGCTTCTCTCTTGTCCTCGCGTCGCCCGGAGCAGTGCCCATGGAACGACTGGCCGCGTTCCGGGCCTCCCAGAGGGGGCCCGAGTGATCAGGTGGCGTCGGAGGATCGCGCCGCATCGTGGTGCATCGCCGATGCGGCTCGACGTGGAGACTTTTTTGTAAGGGTCGGGCGATAACCCGGGTTATCGGGCTTGCCCCCCCCCCTCCCCCCCCCAGGGTAACCTGACCTTGCCGGTTGTGCAGGTCCGCGGGAGGGGGGCGCGGGCACATGCAGGGCTGCCCAAAGCGCGAGGGTTGGGTTAATCGCTGGCCCCTGCTAGGTTGATACTATTGCGGTGCTCTTCTACGCCATGCCATGCCGTGCTCTACAATGCATCGCGTACCCTTTCGGGATCATTGCCCTGCTCGACATCCGACTGTGCGAGTAGAGAGGGATCTACGCCATGGTAAGGGATGGGAGGGAGGGGTAGGATGTCAGATATGACGCGAGCTCACCTAGCTTGTCCCGCCCCCTCCGCGATAGCCCGGGATATCGCCGATTCAAAAAAACGGTCTCGTGGAGCCCGATGTTCTCCACGCCGACGTCGCCGATGCCTCGCCGACGCCTCGCCGGTGCAGCGGCGAGGGCGGCGAGCGGTCCTGCGGCCCCGCCTGCTCCGGCACCATCTGGCAGGCCACTGCGTGCGCCCTGGCGGCTGCAAACATTCCCGGGAGGGCAGCACTCCGGGAGGGAAAACAAACACACACACACACACACACAGACACAATTCATCGTCGATTTCTAAGATCGGGGGCGGCAAAGAGGGGGGTGATGACTAGGGGGGGGGATATCATGGCGGGGGCCATGATATTTCCCCAGATTTCATGGCGCCTCTTCTTATTTCATTACGTCCCTGGTCCCCCCGCTGGGTCACGCACATGCCGCCGGTCGTGATCTGCACCCCCCCCTCTTGGACACCCCCCTCTTGGCCGCTCCCGACACAGACACAATTCATCGTCGATGCCTCAGAAAATAGGGGAAACCATGGGACGTTGGGGGGGGATGGAAAAGCATGGGGAATCCGGTTATCTGTGTGTACTTCTGTGTGTGCCCCAGGGCCCCTCCAAACAACTCCCGGCTCAATCCAGCTTAAGCCAGCTTGGGCCCGCGTAGTCGTAAGTCGAGCCTGCCCCTCTACAGGAGGAATCTCCAAACATAGTCCAAAGATAGTCTGGGGACGATTGTTTGCCTATTCTGGGGTATTTTTGAACATGTTTAGAATATGTGCAACTTGTCGTCCAACATCCGCCTGTAGGGGACACGCCCGACCTAGGCTTTGCCCTGGTCCGAACTCCAGCTCATTCTGGCTTCATCCAGCTTGGTCCCGCTCAGTTTGGCGCGAGCCCGCTCAGTTTCGTGGAAAGCGATCAATGGAGAGGGGGCAGGTTGCCAATGAATCTCCAGATGTCTAAAGCATGTTTCAAGCATGTCTTAAAAGTGCCGAGATATGTTTTGGGTATTTTCCGGATATGAAACACGTAGAAGGCATCCGAACGACATGTTGGATTCAATGATAGAGCGGTTAGAGTGCGCCCTTTCGGATGCAACTCCTGGGAGCTCAAACAATCGGACTCTGCCCTGGTCCGAAATCCAGCTCAATCTGGCTTCATTTGGCCTAACCCTGCTTACTCCAGCGAGATCCCGCTTAATGTTAAGTCGGGCGAGTCCCTCTACAGGAGGAATATTCAAAAAGAGGCAAACAATAGTTTGGGGACAATTTTTTCTATGCTTGATTTTTGTATGTTTGGATTATTTTTAATTGTTCGCCCAAAAATCCGCCTGTAGGGGGACATGCCCGACCTGAGCTTAAAGCGGCTCGGCTAAATCCTCGGCCCAATCTGGCGTAACAGCCCCCCAATGGGCCTTAACCTGATGATGTTCCAACCTATTTACTTTAGCTTTGACGACCAGGAAGCATGTCGAGCACCAAGAACGTACCGAAACTGGGAGGTTTCACGTGTCGGGCCCTGGGAGGCGATACTCGTTTGACACCGTTTCGAGATTTCTCTGGGTGCTCGAACTTCTGGGGTGTGGCTTTTGATCGCAAGCTGGAACATATACATTACCAGTGGCGGGTTATTTTTCAATCCCACTATTTTTTAAGGGTCAGGGACGACGCCGGTGTGCTGTAGTGTATCTTTCTCCCCCGTTTTTCAAGGGAAACAATGAAACATGTATACACCAGGATCCCGTACACACCAGAATCCGCGTTCCTGTGCGAATTCCAGCGCAGGGTCGGGAAAAACGTCGGTGTGAAGAGTTCGTTCCCCTATTTGAGTACGAATGGAGCAACACGACTCGGGTGCAACTCCTGGGAGGTCAAATTCTGATCTTGCCCTGGTCCGAAGTCCGTCTTAATCCCACTTGATCCCGCTACATCCCGCTTAATCTGGCTTGATCCCGCTCCATCCGAGGCCCAATTTGTCGCAACAGCCGCACAACGGGGCTCAATCCTCCTTAGTCCCCCCGACGAACACCTCGCAGTAGTTGCCTGCTAAAGACGAGCTGAACTCCCCACCCTCGGGCCTCCTTCAGAAGGGAAAGCACACACAGACACACTTAATCGTCGATCTCCCGGAAAATATGGGAAGTGGGGGGGAAGACGAACATCCCAAAACTATGTAAAAATATGGGGGTCCTGTTATTTGTGTGTATTAATGTGTGTGTCCTTGGGCTCCTTCACTCTCCTCCTCCTCCTCCTCCTCCTCCTCCTCCTCCTCCTCCTCCCTCCTCCCTCCTCCTCCTCCTCCTCCTCCTCCTCCCCCTCCTCCCCCTCCTCCCTTTCCCTCCTCCTTCTCCTCCTCCTCCTCCTCCCTCCCTCCCCCCCTCCTCCTCCCTCCTCCTCCCTCCTCCTCCCCCTCCTCCTCCTCCTCCTCCTCCCCCTCCCTCCTCCCCCTCCCTCCTCCTCCTGCCCCTCGAGAGGCCTGGGGCCCACGCCCGAGTTCTGCCTCGCGGGCTACGCCGCGGCCCTCTACGCCGTGGGGGCCGCCGCGCCGGGGCTCCAGCGGGAGGAGCCGCGCGCGTCCGCCGCCCGCGCGGCTCTTCCCCGGAGGGCCTGGCGCGGCAGTGTCTTCGAGCCCTCCTCCTGTCCTCCTCCAGAATCCTCCTCCTCCTCCTCCTCTCCTCCTCCTCCTCCTCCTCCTCCTTCCTCCCCCCTCCTCCTCCCCCTCCTCCTCCTCCTCCTCCTCCTCCTCCTCCTCCTCCAAAACTCCACGCGAGAGTGCGAGCCTCGACGATTCGAGCCGCCATTCGTTTGCCCCTCAAGGGTCCCACTGTGCGGTTGTGGGCCCAGAGGTGAGGCGTCGGCATCATCGGAAAACCCCTTGGGGCACGCTCGACTTCCTCTAGAACTCTACGCCTTCAGAGCTCTACGCCTCCCAGAGCAGCGGGGGTCGGAGGAGCCGCGCGGGCCCGTCGCCCGCGCCAGCTTCCCTGAAGTCGGGCCTGTCCCTCTACAGGAGGAATAGTCAAAAATATCTTAAAAACAGTCGGGGGACGATTTTTTGAGTATTTTGGAACATGTTTGGGGCATTTTGAGGGTATTTTCTATTTGTCGTGCAAAATCCCCCTTGTAGAGGGACAGGCCCGACCTAACGCTTCCCCGGAGAGCCTGGCGCGGCAGTGTCTTCGAGCCGGCTGCGGGCCCCAGAACTCCACGCCTCGGTCGGGCCTGCCCCTCTACAGGAGGAATATTCTCAGGAGGGAAAGAAACACACAGACACAATTAATCGTCGATTCCCGAGAAAATATGGGAAAATATGGGAAGTGGGGGGAATAACAAAAACCC